GTACTACTTTTTCCGAAAATTTTCGGATTTTGTATCAGGAGAATATGATATGCAAGGAGGTATACTTTTCGAACGTCTGGCCTGACGTTGATTCGTACTACTTTTTCAGAAAATTTTCGGATTTTGTATCAGGAGCACATGATGTGCGGGAGGTATTCTTTCGAATGTCTGGCCTGACGTTGACTCGTACTACTTTTTCTGAAAAATTTCCCAATTTTAGTGGTACAAGTCAATAACAAGCCGGACAATGAATTTTGGGATACCTCCGCGAGAAATTGTGCTCCTGATACTCGAATTTCAGTAGTACAAGTCAATCACAAGTCAGACAAAGAAATTCGAGAATACCTCTTATGTACTCATGATACAATTAGCAAGTAGTTTAAGTCGATGGAAAGATAGTGGAAGCTGTCAAAATGAGAGAGGACGAGAAAGGAATACATGTACGATGGAGCGATTTTAAAGAAGGGCGAGAAGGAAGAGAGAGAGAGAGAGAGAGATAGTGAGAGAGTGCAAGAGAGAGAGAGAGAGAGAGAGAGAAAGTGTGAGAGAGATAGTAGAGAGTGCAAGAGGGAGAGATAGTGAGAGAGAGAGAGAGAGAGAGAGAGAGAAAGTGTGTGTGTGTGTGTGTGAGAGAGATAGTAGAGAGTGCAAGAGGGAGAGATAGTGAGAGAGAGAGAGAGAGAGAGAGAGAGAGTGTGAGAGAGATAGTAGAGAGTGCAAGAGGGAGAGAGAGTGAGAGAGAGAGAGAGAGAGAGAGAGAGAAAGTGTGTGTGTGTGTGTGTGAGAGAGAGAGTGAGGAGGAGAGTAGAAGAAAGTTGGAAGAATGAAAGAGGAATGAAAAGAGAGGAAAACTATAAAATACAATTGGTACAGAGAGGTAAGAATAGGAAGGGTTCTAGAATATTTGAAAAGGGATGAGGAAGAAGCGAGATGGGGTGAAACTGCAAAGTATAGAGAGGACGAGGAAGAAAGCGGATGCTGATGTGGAGGAGAAGAAACACAAATGTGAGAACACATGTTACAGTGGTACAAGAGGAGAAAGGAATGGAGGAAGGAATTTGAGAAAAGATTAAGTATATATTAAATGAGTATGGTAGAGGAGAGGAATAGACGGTGAAACTAGATGAAGAAAAAAAAGGGAGCGAGGGAGAAAGGTGAGAGAAGAAGGAGACATTGATTGTGTGAAAGAACAGGCGAAACGGAGGACAAATGAAGAAGCATGAGCAAGGGGGGTGAGGAACAAAATAAAACTACCGATATGAAAAGACGTTTGGAGTGAGTTTTATAGTACTTTTATTTTCAAACATTACAGTTCTTATTCTATTTTACAATCATTTTATAATAATGAAAAGGAGTCAGAACGAAGCCGGTATGCGATATGACCCTCTTTCTACGCAGTACATGTCGAGTAATCATTGCGGACCAAATGTGAATCGGTGACTCAGGTAACAAAGTTACCACTATGATAACCAGACTGGACCGATCACAAGAATGGACCAGAAGTCAAGAGTTGGGGTACCCTGAACTTCTGGAAGGAGAACGAATCTACTACCTCCGCAGATCGTGCAGAAACAGACTAAACCCGTGCATTGAGCAGAACAGATAACCAAGAGTGACGGTAACACCCACCACTAACTTCAATGAACGATAATTTGATAATGTTGCCTTCAAATCTCTAGAGAGACTCCACTAGTAGAGTCCAATCAAAGGTTAATTATTTAGCTGATGTTAAAACATATCTTGAATATTATTTGGAATCACGCCTGCAAGACTATTACGAAATTTTTAAAGAACAAGCGTTTTGAAAAATTACTTCAGCAAATCACCTTGGTTGCATACACATTTTAATGTTTATAAGACACCTATAGCTCGAGATTTAAA